ACCAGTGTCAGGAAGGCCACTTAAAAATCTAGGTTCATTACTGAATTTTATTGCACTACAGGAGATGGATAACAGAGTTTCATCAGTTGCTTAGCTTCACTGCTCAGTAAACCACAACTTTAACTCTTTATACTGCTTTCTCTGTTAGTAAGATACAAACCAGTGACTCACAAAATTATAGGTAACTTACTCTGAGGCTCAATCAAGAGTTTGTACAGCTCTAAATCCTTGGATGTAAGGATCGATTTTAAAACATGTCACTTTTTAATTAAAAATCTCTCTTGTTGTCAAGCTTTGAAACTCCTCTTACTGTGTACAATAATTCCTGTTAACCAGATGTTGTTTGATAGCTCAGTAATAACAAATGGACAGCACTTGTCCTAACCTGAGTTGCATTCTCTCTTTTTGATGTGCAGCATATGTGGAGCAGTCAGCTAAATAAAGGTCTTATCATTAAGGTACAGTTTGACACTTGGCTTTTTGCTTTTGTTGTCATGCCATTTACCATATGGTAAAGAACTAGTTATAGAAGGCTGCCTGTCTTTTCAGAGTGGAGATTTGAATCAGTGGCATTTTCATGAGAAGTTTGCGCTCTTATTTGTGATTTATACATTGCAAGTTATGTCGTTTTTTTTTCAAATTATATTCTCTAGCATACAGACTGTTTGTGGTGAGCCAGCCTTTCAGTGTCACCTTTAGAGGTTTTTATTCATACTTAAAAGAACTTGAAGGAAATCAAATGAAACATAAAAATCTTTTGTTTTTACTCATGGCCAATCACATTTTCTGTTATTTTAAAGGTATTTCCTACATAAAACACATTGTTAAATACCAACTGTGGTGTATGTTGTTTTTAAAGTAGAAGTAGTTATTTGGGCCCAGTTTACTGTGGTTTTCTTTGATATACACTATTAGAAGTTGTAGGACTGGAATAGATGCTAAAGTCTTTTTCAATATATAATAAGGTGGGAATTATTCTTTAATGAAAAGGTTAAACAAATAAGTGATTAGAATATCACAATTAATAATATATAGATAAAGGATTAAGGGGAAAGGAGGAGTCTGGAGAGTCAGTTGAACAAAAACGGGGGTTGTGGATAAAGTCCTGAGATTGTACTTCAAAATAACTTAGATGTGTAAGATTTGATTTCATTATATACTTCTGTGGGCTAGAATATATGCTGGGGGTTTTTTTTGTTTGTTTGTTTAAGTAATGAATTTGGAGAATATGCATATTCTGGGGTACTACATTTTAGGAAAATGAGAACCTAGAAAGGGGTATAGAGAAGAATACCAATCTGGATAAGGAATAATCAGATGGCATCTATGAGGAAAGATTGAATGGACTTAGAATTAATTGAGAACCATTTTTAAGAATATGAACAAATAACTTCTAAGACCTCGCTCCCAAACAAAGTTCTGTGAAGGAGAAAATAAAATTCTGTAAGAGATAGTTAGGTTATGTCTGAGGAACACTGTCTAGAATTTAAAGTTCATTAACCATTGCAACATGATACACATAGAGATACAGAATCCCACCCCTTCAAGATAGTGGAGGTAGTTGATTTGCAGTCTTTGAAAAGGAACCAAATCACTGCATTAAGAAAGGATCCTGAATCTTTTTTCTTAGATCATTTATCTCTTAATGGGAGGAGACTGAAAGAAAGTAAAGATTCCAAATACAGTTGAGTTCCTGTTTTACAGCTACATTCTGCTGCTTTCATTGACCTAAAAAGAATAAGAATACATCCTATTCAGGAACAGTGGAAACAGCCAGAAATACATAGAATTAAAGAACTATATTAGTTGGATTATAGATATCCTAAGTTGTTTTTCTTTTGGCCAAGGAAATTTCATCTCATTTAGAGTGAAAAGAATTTCCTCTCCTTTTAAATTTCACCTGTGACACTACAGTATTTTTGCTCCTGTGGAAAGTACTACCACGCACCCACTCCAGGGGGAACCCCTTGCTCTACACTTTCCTCTGCAGGACTGGAAGTGAATTAAAGCTGTAAACCAAGCCAGCTTCATGGCACTTAGCACTACTCACTCTTGGACAATCTTAGCACTTCCCTGACAACACTGAGTTCCAGGACAAGTGGAAGTGAGGAGGGGAAATGAGGAACAAGTGATAGATCTTGATTTAATACTTGGTCTACCTGATGAATTTGAATCTCATCTTACTGTCTGATAGATGTTCTAAAACATTCTGGCAGGAAGGTGCCACTATGTTGAGCAGGAGGAGGAGTCAAGAAAAAATTTCCTCCCTTCCTTTTTAGAAAAAGGAAGAAAAAACATTTCAGTAAGCACAATAAAAAAGTGGTCTCTTGCCGTTACCGGTTTGGCTCAGTGGTTAGAGCATCAGCCTGTGGTCCAGAGAGACCCGGGTTCGGTTCCCGCCAGGGGGCACGTACCTCAGTTGCAGTTTGTCCCCGGCCCTGGTTGGGTCGTGCGGGTGGCAGCCACTCAATGTGTCCCTTTCACGTTGATGTTTCTCTCTCTTCCTCTCACTCTATCTGAACAAAGAATGGAAAAATGTCCTCGGATGAGGATTAAAAAAAAAAAGTGGCCTCTTGAGCTGTTACTTCATTCAACAAGGAAATATTGATCATCTGCAGTGTGCTAAGCATGAGGGATATAGTAAATGAGTCATTGCCTTCATGACATTCACCTTGGATCAAAGATAGACATTAAACAGCAAACTAGTAATAAAATTAGACAAGAGTAAGGACTGTAGACAAATAAAGCAAAATAAATAGAGGGTGGGAGTGAGGATCGATTTCAGATGGTGACATTTAAACAAAACTGAGTTAAATGAAGGAGCCCACCATGTTACTATTTCTTAATAGTTTCTAACTAGGGCAATTGATGAAAAAACTCTCTTACAAAATGTTTCTCTGTAATTCTTCTCATTTTCTGCTCTCGTGGGCACACAGGTTGAAAAATCTAGTAGTTAACCATTTACTTCTAATTTGAGCGTTAAGTTTTAAAACGTACTAATGGCACTTTGAGAAGTAATTGAGAAAACTTTGTTTTCATATATTAACCAAATGTTGCTCTCCTTCAAAGTGAGAGTAATTGTCTAAGATGTGTCATATAAGTAACATTTAGGTGGTGTTGTTTTTTTTCAATATGTTTTTATTGATTTTTTTAGAGAGAGAGAGAGAGAGAAACATTGATTGGCTGCCTTCTTCACACCCCCCACTGGGGATTGACGCCACAACCCAGGCACGTGCCCTGACTTGGAATTGAACCAGGACCTCTCAGTTCATGGGGCGATGCTCAATCCACCGAGCCATACCAGCTGGACTAAGTAACATTTTAAATACACGTAAAAGCTAGGTTTCTGTGGAGTTGACATATCTAATCTGCCTCCTCTGACTTCTTTGTTGTTGTTTTTTTCCAATTTTTATTGATTTATTTTTGTTATAAGTGTTTCTCCTTTTTCCCCCATAGACACCCTCCTCCCCATCCCACCCCCACCCCCAGCATTGTTGTCTGTGTCCGTTGGTCACACTTACATGTATCCTCTGACTTCTTTATTTTAGCCACTGGTATCGTTGGTCTTATTGTGGGGAAGCAGTAACTTTGCCTAAGTGTGGGAAAAGCCAGAGTTGACTTTTGGATCCCACCTTCTCTGCAGGAAGATACCTCAGAAAAAACTGGCCACAACTGCCTACATTCACCCAAGTGCCCAGGTTGGGCTTGGCTTTAGAAGGCTTGGGTAGTCCTGTTTCCCAGTATGAACTATGTTTGAGAAATGTCAGTAGACAAAGTTCATTAAGTGTGAGAAGCTTGTACTCCATCCCCTAGCTCTAAAGAAATACAGAAGTGGGGAAAGAATACATTCCAGTGGTTTCCCATTTAAAAATTGTGGGTTTTATTGAACTATTTATTATTGGAGTTGTCTAGCCTCTGGTTCTTGTTAAGACACCTTCAGGGAGACAGAGAATTTACTACCTCCTCAAAGTCCTGGCCATCTCTGGACAATTTTGACATATTTTTACTTTTGCGTTCTGTGTGAAATAGCTAAGCAAGAATGAAATCTCTCTCAGAAAATAACATCTCCCATTCCACACTTACTACTGCAGAATTCCTCTGCTCTGATTTCTTGACTTTTATTGATTTAAATCAGAGTTACTTTATTTATCTTTGATGTGCCCAGTGGCGATGAACAAGATTAAGTAAGTATCTGGCAGAACTTTGTGCAAGGTGTAAGACTATTTGGAGAGAAAAAAATTTTCTCCCTGAAAAGCTTTCCATGAATGTAACTTGCAAAGGTTCTATAAAGATAATCGTGGAGATAAAAAAATATTATGAAAAATAATGGTCTTTAGTCTTTGTGATTAGATTAGTCACTTTTTAAAAATCATGCTTACTGATCACATTTGAATATAAATTACTTTTAAGAATCTATTATTTGCAAACATTCCTTAGGGGTATTTACTGGAAGTGGTTAGAAAAAAAAGCAGAGTGTTCCTTATAAAGTTTGTATTAAGTGCTTATAAGATGTAATTTATCTCTTTAGTGTTTTAAAAATAAAAATGTTAAGGTTTTGTCTAAAAAAGTAATCTGGTTTATATATTGTCTTTTTCCAGGTGATATAATCCAAACATTCAATAAAATTATGATTTTAAAGTAATTCTCAGTTCTAAGCTTCTCTCCACAGCCTCCTTTCCCCAAGTGGAAAGATTTCATTAATGTTCTTTTCTGAGAAGAATTTGGTAGTTTTTGCTGGCATGATGAAGAACATGTTATAGATTCAGACTTTTAGGCTTCTTTCTATGCTTAATAGTATGTTGGATCTTTCCATTTTTTCCCTGAAATTTCTCTTCTGAGTTTATTAGTAAACTCTCTCTCTCTGTGAATGTTGACAAATCAAAAAGACTTCATCTCTCTGCCATGACAAAAACTTCTCTGCCATGTTGAAGATAGAACCCCCCCCCCCCTTATTCCTTCCTATTTCGTGAACATGTATTTAATATTTTTGGTTGTTTCAGACTGACCCCGACTCTTGGCATTCAGAAGCATTCTCAGGAAAATATGGTGTTTACACAGTTTATAACCACACTGCTTGAAGAATTACATTTAAAGAATGAAGACCTTGAAAATTTAACCATCATATTTAGAACTAGCTGTTAAAACAGAGTGGTGAGTTGGATTGTGTTTTACTTTTATTTGTTTTTCCTTTGTTGCCTGTTTGGATTTTTTTTATTTTGGAAATTTAAAAAACCAAGTATAGGCCCTTGCCAGGTAGCTAGCTCAGTTGGTTAGAGCATCGTCCCAATATGCCAAGGTTGGGGTTTGAGTCCTGGTCAGGGCACATACAAGAATCATCCAATGAATGTATAAATAAGTGGAACAACAAATCTATGTCTGTCTGTCTGTCTCCCTCCCTCCCTCCATAAAACATCAATAAAAAAAATAAAAATAAAAACCAAGTACAGACCTCAAGATACCTTCAGCTTACTGAGAACATGCCATCCCTTAGTTCTCAGCTGCCCCACTCACTTCCTGTCCAGTCTTGTTACTTTTTGCCCCATCCTTGTTGTTATTATTCCTTCTGTTTAGGCTTACCACAGTTCATTCTGTTTCTTGCAATCCACTGCCACCTTCACCCTCAAACTTAGACTGTCTGGTAAGTTTTTTCCCAGGAGGGAGCAACTAAGCTTCAACCCAAATACTGAAATGATCCATCGAGAACATCCTCATCCTGCTTTCCTCTTTAAGGAAATTGCCCAACCCAGCCAATAGTACTCTGGTAATCTTATGTACAGATAAGCAGGTGAATTTACAAGTCTGACTTTGTTGAATCCTGACCCTGCCCCCATTCGCATAGCTTTCCCCTACTGTCCCAAGTTCTTACCTCCTTCAGAACTGCCCATCAGTGTTCCTACCTCATCCTGTATTAATCATAACTCATCTTTTCCTCTCCTTCTCATTTTACATACTGTCAAGTGCTCAGTTTATTTTTTAATTAAAGTTTATTTAGCATACAATTAGTATATTAGTTTTAGATGTACAACATAATGATTCATTATTTATACACCTTATGATGTAATCACCACCCTATATCTAGTAACCATCAGTCACCATGCCAAGTCATTACAATATTGTGACTATATTCCCTGTGCTGTACACTACATCTCTGTGGCTTATTTATTTTATAACTGGAAGTTTGTACCTCTTCTTTCCCTTCACTTTTTTTTTTTTTATTACCAATCTCTCTCTTCTGGCAACCATCAATTTGTTCTCCATTTTTATGAGCTTGTTTTTGTTTTGTTCCTTTGTTTTTTAGATTCCACATATAAGGGAAATCATATGATATTTGTCTTTTTCTTTCTGACTTATTTCACTTGGCACAATACTCTCTAGGTCCATCCATGTTGTCACAAATGGCAAGATTTCATTTTTTATGGCTGAGTAATATGCCATTATATATATGTACCACCCCTTTTTCTGTACCGCAGGCCGACGCTCCAACCGCTGAGCCAAACTGGCCAGGGCCTATGTACCACCCCTTTTTATTCATTCATCTGTCAGTGGATACCTAGGTTGAATCCTTAGCTATTACAAATAATGCTGTAGTGAACATAAGGGTGATTATATCTTTTTGAATTAGTGTTTTTGTTTTCTTCAGATAAATACCCAGAGTGCTCTAGCTGGTATGGCTCAGGGGTTAGAGCATTGGCCTGCACACCAGAGAGTCACGGGTTTGATTCCTAGTGAAAGGCACATACCTGGGTTGCAGGTTCAAATCCTGGCCCTGGTCGGGGCACATGCAGGAGGCAGCCAATGTATATCTCTCACATTGATGTTTCTTTCTCTTTCTCTCTCTCCCTCTCTCTTCCCCTCTCCTCCTCCCCCTCTCTCTCTTGCTCTCTTTCCCTCCCTTTCTCCCTTTCACACTCTCTCAAAATCAATGGAAAAAAATGTATCCTAGAGTGAAGATTAACAACAACAACAAAACCCAAAAGTGTAGTTGTTGGGTTGTATGGTAGTTCTATTTTTAATTTTTTCAGGAATTTCCATACTGTGTTCCATAGTGCCTGCACCAATTTATAATCCCACCAACAGTGCATGAGGGTTCCCTTTTCTTCATATTTTCTCCAACACTTATTTGTTGACTTTTTGATGATAGTCATTCTGACAGGTGTGAGGTGGAATCTCATTGTTGTTTTGATTTGCATTTCACTGATAATTATTGATGTTGAGCGTCTTTTTATGTCTGCTTGTAATCTGTATGTCCTCTTTAAAGAAATATCTATTCAGATCTTATATTCATTTTTAAATCAGGTTGTTTGTTTTTTATGTTGATTTGTATGAGTTCCTTATATATTTTGGGTATTAACTATAACATATATATTATTTGTGAATATCTTCTCCCATTCAGTAGGTTGTCTTTTCATTTTGTTCATTTCCTTAGCTGTGCAGAAGCTTTTTAGTTTGATGAGGTCCCATTTGTTTATTTTTTCTTCGTTTCCCTTGATGGAGGAGATATATCCAAATAGATATTGCTAAGACTGATATTGCTACTTATGTTTTCTTCTGGTAGGTTTTTTTAAAATTCAGATTACATTTAAGTCTTTATTTTGAGTGATTTTTGTAAAAAAAAATTTTTTTTATCCTCACCCGAGGACAATTTTTTCCATTTTTTTGTTCAAATAGAGTGGGAGGGAGGGAAGGAGGGGGGAGAGAGAGAGAGAGAGAGAGAGAGAGAGAGAGAGAGAGAGAGAGAGAGAAACATCGACGTGAAAGGGACACATCAAGTGTTTGCCACCCGCACGACCCAACCAGGGCTGGGGACAAACTGCAACCGAGGTACGTGCCCTTAGCGGGAACTGAACCCAGGTCTCTCTCGACCACAGGCCCACAATTTAACTGCTGAGCCAAACTGGCCAGGGCTAAATTTATTCCTTAGTATTTTAATAGTTTTGGTGCATTTGTGAAGTTATTTTCTTAATTTCTCCTGATTGTTATTAGTCTATAGCAATTAATGGATTTGTGTATATTAATTTTGTATGCTGCTACTTTACTAAGTTCATTTATTCTAGTAGATTTTTGGTGACATCTTTAGGATTTGCTTTATATAGTATGATCTGCAAATAGGGGCAGTTTACTTCTTCCTTTCCAATGTGGATTCCTTTTATTTCTTTTTCTTGTCTGGTTGCTGTGGCTAGAACTTCCAGTACCATGTTGAATAAAAGTGGTGAGAGTGGGCATCCTTGTCTTGTTCCTGATCTTAGAGAAGGTTGAGAACAACTGGTCTAGAGGGAACATACCTGAATATAAAGGCTATGGATGACAAACCCAGAGCTAACATACTCAATGGGAAAAAGCTGAAACCTTTTTCTCTAAGATCAGGAACAAGACAAGGATGCCCACTCTCACCACTTTTATTCAACATGGTACCGGAAGTTCTAGCCACAGCAACCAGACAAGAAAAAGAAATAAAAGGTATTAATTCTTTAAATTTTTCATAGAATTCACTTGTGAAGCCATCTGGTCCTGGACTTGGGGGTATTATTATTATTATTGCTTAAATTTCATTGCTAGTAATTGGTCTATTCAGGTTTTGTTTCTTCCTGGCTCAATCTTGGAAGGCCGTATTTTTCTAGAAATTTATGTTTCTTATATGCTGTCCAATGTGTTTGCAGATATTGTTCATGGTGTTCTTTAATGATCGCTTTTGTATTTCAGTGGTGTCAGCTGTCACTTCTCCATTTTCGTTTTTTATTTTATTTACTTGGGCCCTCCTTTTTTCTTAATGAGTCTGGCTAAAGGTTTGCCAATTTTGTTTATCCTGTCAAATAATCAGCTCTTGGCTTTATTGATTTTGGGAGGAGGGTTGTATTTTGTTTATTTCTACTCTGATCCTTATTTCCTTCTACTTACCTTGGATTTGTTGTTTTTCTGGTTCCTTCAGTTGTAATGTTAGGTTGCTTATTTGGGATTATTTTCTTGTTTCTTGAGATAGGTCTGTATAGCTATGAACTTCCCTCTTAAAACTGCTTTTGCTACCTGGCTGATGTTGCTCAGTGATTAGTATCAACCCATGCACCAAGAGATTGCCAGTTTGATTCCAGGTCAGGGCACATGCCCAGGTTGTGGGCCTGATCCACAGTGGGGGGCATGCAGGAGGCAGCCAATCGATGTTCTCTCTCATCGATGTTTCTGTCTCTCCCTCTTCCTTCCTCTCTCTAAAATCAATAAAGAAAAATGTTTTTTTGTTGTTGTTTTTTTATCCTCACCCGAGGACATTTTTCGACGTTTTGTTCAGATAGAGTGGGAGGGAGAGAGAGAGAGAGAGAAACATCGATGTGAAAGGGACACATCGAGTGGTTGCCACCCACACGACCCAACCAGGGCCGGGGACAAATTGCAACCGAGGTACGTGCCCTTAGCGGGAACCGAACCCAGGTCTCCCCAGACCGCAGGCCAACACTCTAGCCGCTGAGCCAAACCGGCCAGGGCAGAAAATTTTTTTTTTTTTTTTAGAAAAAGAACTTTTGCGACATCTCACAGATTTTGGAAAGTTGTGTTTTCATTTTCATTTGACGCAGGTATTTTTTAAGTTTCTGTTTGATTTTCATTTTTATCATTGGTTATTTTACTAGCATGTTTTTCAGTCTCTACTTGTGTGTTTTTCCACTTTTCTTTTTTGTAGTTAACGTCTAGTTTCTTTTTTTATTATTATATTTATTTATATATTTTATTTTTGTTACAGATGTTTCTCCTTTTTCCCCTCATTGATACCCTCCTCCCAATTCACACCCCCCCCCCACTCTGTCATTGTTGTCTGTGAGAAAGAATATTCTTAAGTCCAGTTACCAGAACTCTCCCAAATGGTTTTCAGGGTTCCTGAGTGTCATTTATATTCTGGAAGATTCTCACTTTTTGTTTCTAAAAGGATGTTTAGCATTTTTAAGCTAAGCTCTGGTGTTTTTGTTTGTTTGTTAGTTCTGAATGCTCATTCCCAGCACCCGATTGCCACCTTACCACTCTGCCCCATCCCTACTCCAAATGACTTCTAGTTTCACAGTGTTGTGGTAAGAAAAGATTCTTGCAGTGATCTCAGTCTTCTTGAATTTATTGAGACTTGTTTTGTGGCATAATATGTGATCAGTCTAGGAAGATGTTCCTTGTGCATT